CCCTCTTATAGTGTCCTGGATATGTACTCACACCTCACACAAACTCAGGCACATCTGAAATGTAGCGGTTGTTCTGCACTAGCAACTCTGCACAGTATTTAGCTAGAAACATAGTCAACCAATAGGAACAATAAAATAAAATAAAAATCCAGCAAAGAGGTCTACCAAAATTCCACATCCCACTCACTTTCCCATCCCCCCAAAACCCCCAAACTGCTTTGCAATAGCAATGGGGCAAATCCTAGGAAACATCCCAGGTAAATGCATGCCGTAGACAGAGAACAAAGAGTTGCTACTGCAAACCCTTTGGGGATGAAAGGAGAGACACTTTTATTAACATCAGACAAAATGGTCGCTTGCCAGAATCACATGCATATCCAGACCTTTGAGTGTTTATCAGAACTGAATTCCAAGCTTCACCCATCACTAAATGTACCACTTTTCATGTTTTGTTTGATAAGAAATCAATGAGTGAATTAAACCCAAACAGCTCTGATGCCCATTTCCTCTGTTGAGATTTCCCTTAGACAATGAGACTTTGAATGGATTGTACATAGCTTTATCCAACATTTAACAAGAAAACTATAACTAGCTAATGATATATCCTTCCAACGATGATTGCCATCAATTGAGATAAACTGTCTAAACTTCTCTGTGAAGAAAACAAAAATCCTTCAGTTTTGTTCCCAATTCTTATAAACAATCCTTTTTTAGTCTTGGTTAAATGCTTTTTATAGGAAATAACCAACCATAACAAAAATGAAATGCCTCCAAATCAGATTTTCAGGGAAGCATGTTTATTCATCAACATTAAGCAGTTTTGCCTGACTTTGGAATAAATGTGTTGTTTCATGAATATTTACAAAATTTATTTTCTCTTTTGGCCAATGTTTGAAAGATCCAGCTGTTAGCTCTAAATTTTCTTCCATAAAAAGCAGGGTGGTATCCTGAAGTTGTAGAGCATGATTTACAGAGGTGCTGAGTTTCCATAATTCCAGTTAAAGTCAGTGGGAAATAAAGATGTTCAGCACCTCTGAAAAACAGACTTATTAAGCCTTTTAACTAGTTCAAAATTGTTGAGGTAAATAGAGGACAACAGCTTTATCGTCAGTCCCTGCTGGAATACTGAGTTATGTACTTCAGTCATAAACATACGGCTATAATCATTTTTTAAATATTATCCCATTGAAACTCTGAAAATACTTTTGGTTTTAATTTTTTTTTGGGCGGGTAGAAAAAAACAATGAGAAAAGCCCCAAATAAACCAGATGTGGTTCTAAAAGACATCCAGTGTAGAGAAATCAGTACAGTGATTCACAAAATTTATCACTGTGCCACTTTGTCTGCAATTTTCCCAACTGAATTGCCAATTGTGCTGGTTTTTTGTTTTAAATACAAAAGCTTATTATCTGTCTGTGCCTAATAATAGCCAACATACCATGGTTACATTTTGTACTGAACAATGGTGACACAAGTTAAAAAGATCAAATGTAAATCAGCTGCTGCCTACCATTTAGAAGCCACCAAAGAATAAACTCTCTTGTATAACAGAAGATGAACTGACCCAAATGAAGAATTTTGGAAATAAGTCAAAGAAATTTCACTTTTGGCATTTTGAGTTTGCATCCACTGATGTTAGAACATCTGGAAAAGTTTTGATTATATGTCCAATAAAGGTCCTGGTAAAGTGAGGTTCACCTCAGATTTCTCACACCCATTAGCCTGTACTATAGAGGAAAATGCCAGAAATGCCATATATAGAGAAAGTGAATCCTTTTGACAAAGACTAACAAGGATTATAGGTACACAAAAGGTCAAACACCTAGTTGTGTATTTAAAGAGAGCTCTGCTCAATCAAGAGAAGTTCAACTGGTTGAACAATGTAAAAACACACTGCACGTATTATGTGCTACATCTCTGCTGCTCTGTGAAAGGAAAATGCTTGCTCCTTACAGTGAGAAAGCACTCGGTTACTGTACATGGCTGTAAATCTAGAGAATGTTATTTTCTTCATTATAATTATACTGGATTTATACTGGTATGCCTGAGAACAGATTCTGGCCAGTTACACTAGTATACATTCAATGCAAAGCCAAAGGCTTTATTTTTCTGGAATAAGCATTTATTGTAGACAGTTCAAGGAACCTCACTCCTAATCTATCCAAATTCTAATTCATTTACCTTCTATAGTATACCAAAGCAGGTTTGAAGTGTTGAAATAGATTCCAAATCCATCTCTGGATGATGTTCTGTTTCCAAGTCACTAATGGGACTGATCTGCCATGAGTGTATACTAGCTATCTACGCTGGAAGTTCACTTCAAGTAGCATTGAACTTAATTTTCATTATCGTTCCACAGGAAACATGCCCTTGTCCCATTGCCATAAATGGAAGTGGCACCTAGCGAGCAGGTTGAAACAACAGCTTTTCAAGCATCAAGAGAAAAGGCATTAGTACAAGAAGACTGAGGGCATTTCCCCAACTTCGCAGTACGAAGTCAACCAATTCTTGAGCACGACATGGAGGTTGCTGAACATTTAACATATAAATCAACACAAATTATGAACTGTAAGCTCTTTTCTAAAAGAGTTATAAAGGAGGCCCTATGTGAAATTGATATTCCAATTTACAGTTTCCCATCCTGTCTAGCCAGTTGATGCAAAGTCCTAGCTAAAATATTAGACAAGAACTAATAACACAGCTATAGGAACTCTGTGCCTTCTTCAGGGACAAAGTAAGCAGCAATTTATATTCTTTCTGTGTCCTAAAGAACCAACAAATAAACTAAAACAACTATATTTTATTTCACTTTTTCAGTAATTGACTGGAACCATGGTTGATTTAACACCTCTGAAAGACAAGAATGCAAGAACATGCATACTTAAAGAGCAGCTGATATTGGCTCTCTACAGGCCAACACTATTTAACAGTTCTGTCAGGATACTGTTATATTGCTGGCACATACTAATATAAACTTGTTCTGTTGAAAGTACTATTTGACTCCAAGAAAGTCAACTGCAAATTGGCCATTCCCTTGAATAATAATACATCCCTCAAGAACTGCAAGCTAGTAAGCAACAGAGTTACCAAGAATTTCCACCCTTCACAAAACAGTACTCTCCTGTAAGTGAAGAAGTCAAAGTAGCACAACCTAAAGAGTACAGTAGGTGGTGTAGAAAGGAAACAATCAAAATAGCCGCTGCAATTCCACGGCTTACCAATTTGCAGTTTGCTTATCTGCCATTTACCAGAGATGACAAAATGAGCAGAATAAGCTTAAAATTACACTCTATAATATCTGCGCTGGTAAATTAGTGTCACTTCATAAAATCGGGGGGAGGGCAACAAACAATCCCCCCCCCCAACCACCCATGTAGATGAAAAGTTAATATATCCTCAAAATTAGGCATTACAAATATTGCAACCGTGAAATTCATTAGATGACTATAAATTCAAACATAATAATGTTAGGGAAAAGTAAAATTGGGTACGTGTGAGATATGCTTATATGTATACAAAATTTCAAGCTAGAATGATGTCTGAGGCATAACACATGCATGCCATATGTTCTAAATTTGTAAATATAACGAAAAGTCCTTTCAGTCGTGTCTAGTACAGGGGATTAGATGCAAGAGACTTAGTTTCCATTTGCAGCTCTTCTACAGACTTGCTGTGTGATCTTGGGCAATTCCTTAGGCTGTAATCCAATGCCCATTAAAATAAATTAGAATATTTCTACTGACTTCAAAGAGCATTGGATCAAATCCTTAGTGCTTACTCCCAAGGGGCAATGAACACCTACAACTTTTATCCACTCCATCTGGGCGGCCCTTATCCACTTTGGCACCTTAGAATATAAAGTGAGGATAAAAATCCTTACCCATTTTGCAAAGCATTGAACTCTTGGAATGAACGAGTCCACACAAGCAGAGGTTATGTTTTCCATTTGGTAATGTTACCATTTGCCATTAAATGACATGTGTCAGGCCAGACTTACTCCTGCTAGTGCAGGGATAGAAAACGCATTTGTAAGGGTTGAATGCAGCTTTAATTTTCATGGTAGCCCAGCCTGCAGGCTGCTTTGGGGATGGGCTGAATCAGGTCAGCTCACATCAGGTTTGGCTATGCCACACCCCTGCCAGCACTGTCCACTTTGGGGACTGCTTATACAGTCCTAAAGCACTAGGGACAGTCTTGGGCAGCTTGTTTCTCTGCACCTTTTTTCCAAGCACATCCTGCTGCCAGGGGCCTTCCCTAAGGTGTACTGGACAATCTGGCCCAAAGTACATTTGTAAAGACAGCGCACCTAGAAAATGAAGTGTGCATTGGAATCTTTAATGGTGCAACTGAAGTCGAGCTAAGATCAAGGTATACGAACACCAAGTGATAACAAAATAAGGAGTGATGACTAGTTTTAATTTTAAGTAAGATGAGTATTTTAAAGCTTTTATAACACCTTTAACCTCAGAGAAAATGAAAAGGCAAAAAGCAGTGTAACTGAAAAGATTATGCAAACACAAAACACTAGTTAATTTCTGTGTCTTCTCTCCCTTCCCCTCACTGAAAGGAAGGTATGTGGTCTGACATTCACAGTGTGGAATGTGTTCTCAGAAAAAAACATCCAACTTTGAAAGGATGATTTTATCTTTCACCTAGGTACAAAGGCATTCTATGCACAGATTATTTGTTCCCATTTACTAATAAAGAAACATATTGCAGCAACTAAGGTGGAATATCCTATATGGAATACAGAATTGTGTTGGTTGATTTATTTTACTTTGTCTGACTCTTTAATTATTTTATTGTACTTAAGTCATCAGTTCAAGAGAAGTAACAAAACAGGAAGCCACAGTGAGATCTATAAATCACATCAAATTGCATTTGAATTAACAAACTGAAATTAGCTAAGTGATTTGTTGTTCAGTTAAATCCGCCTCCATGCAAGATTTGCTTCCCCACCTCCACACTGGTTCACATCATACAGAACTTTTATTACATACTAGGAATTTGCTGGATCCTATGCACCACCACAAATGCATCCGACAGTCCCACTTTCACTGGGTGATTGGTTGAACTTATCTGTGTCACTGAGACAGGAATCTGGAAGAGAAAATAGATTGATGTGCATTAAATATTAATTTTTTACATCAAGAAATTCAAGGCTAAAAATAACAGTACTGCCAGAATGAGTGTATAGTGTGTGTTTAACAGATATAAAATAGAAGTTTAAACATATTATAAGAAGGATGCAGCGTGCCTAAACGAAGTTTTAATATAGACGGAAACTGTTGATTTTAATTTTATCCTACTTTGATTTACAGCCTATTTAACAATATTCACATAATCACCTCTTTTTTAAAACAAAACAAAACACTTCTTTCCTTCCTTTTGTGTTCAGCTAGACTGGACAATGACAATTGTTACAATCCTGTCTGGATCTGCAGCCAAATAGATGGGAACGATACTGCCCTAGAAAAGTATTGGCTTCCATGTTCATTTTAATGGGAGGGTTAACTTGATGGCTTAATTATCTGAACTTAATATCTACTATTAAATATTGATCAGCATAGCAAACTCATCCAGATGACATATGTATCCTCCTTAGGAATCTTTATATCCTGGCATTCCATTTACTTTTTGGTGCAACTGTTCCTGGAATATTTTATGTAGTTCTTGTCTCCACAGTTTGGGAAAGATACAGAAAAACATAAGAATATATTCAGATTAGTACAAGCATTGGAGGACAATATATATGAAAAGAGTCTGAAGGAACAATATTTTCATAGACTCCAAAATATAACACTCAAAGGGGATATAATCAGAGTCTAGAAAACTCCTTCAAAGTGAGAGTATAAATGAAAGAAGGGAATTAATCACAACCTCAGAAGACTGTAGGACAAAGGAGGAAAAGCTTAGGCTGCATATGAAAGAAATATTCTTAAACTGGAGGAAAAGAGACCATAAAAGGCATCATCCATTTAGCTATTCAAGATGAGGTTAAATAAGACATTGCTGGAGGAAGATGCAGTGAATAAGATCTGCAAGATACAGAGGGGTCAGACTAGATGAGCTAAGTAACAGGAGTTTCATGGTCACAAAAAACTACAGGTGCAGTTCAAGTTTGTGTGTGTTTGTGTAACTATCTAACTGTGTCCACAAAACTGGTAGCCTGAGATGTAAATGATATCAAGTGTTCCCATAAAATAAAAATTGTGAATGTCTAATTTTGTGTCTAATGGTGATATCGGGTATTAAAATAGGAGATTGGAGCCATGTAATATGGAAAACACAAATAGAGCCATCTGCACAAAGATTTGGAGCAGAAATATCTTCACAGATTTTGCCAAATTCCCTGCAGATTTCGGCTTTCGTGTGCTTATTCTAATGAGATGTTAAGCATGGAATCAATCTCTAACAATCGCCAACAACCCAAGATCCTAAAGTTCAGAACCAATAAACTGGATCAGAAATCTAATTAAATGTTTTCCAATAATGCTTTCATATCGAGTCTGTCACAGGGTAGCACCGTAGAAATGGGGGAGATCCAGCGAGGAACCCAGCGCAGATTACTGCAGTTCAAGAAGGGGCAAGGACGATAGGGTTCTCAGGTGGTATATGCTTTTGTTGTGGAGGGACGGGTAAGGACATTAGAAGGTACTGCCCCACTAAGAATGTAGACTGTAGGAATGTAGACTGACACTGAAGATTTGGGTGCCCCAGTCAGAGGCGTGCAAAAGGGGGTGGGGTGGGGAAAGCAGCAGCATGGCCTCCCCCATAATTGTTGGGGGCACAGAACTTCTCCGGCCCCAGGGCCAAGGAAGAACGAGCTGCTCCAGGGGCCGAGGGTGGGGAGGAGAAGAGCGAGCTCCTCCTGGAGTAGGAGTGGGGGGAAAGCCAAGGCTGGGGCTGGGGCAGGGGGCTAGGGCAGGGAAGAGCAAGCTCCTCCGCGGGCCTGGGTACGGGTAGGGGGGAGGGAGGAGGAGAAGAGCGAGCTCCTCCCGGGGCCGGGGTCAGGACCGGGGCGGGGGCAGGAGGGGCTGGGGCTACAGACGTGCCCCTCCAAAAGGGGTCAGATTTAAATTCCTTCACACGTCCCTGCCCCAGGTAGTGGTGTGACTACTGAGAGGTTTGGACCAGGAGGGGTAGGAAGGGACCTGAGTGTTTCAGGTGTGTGAAAACGGGACACATCAGGTGGTTCTGCCCTTTGAAGCGGGAACTTGGGAAAGATGGTGTCTGTGGAGGTGGAGGGCCTTGAAGAGTGAGGGAAATAATTCCCCAGGTGGAGGCACTGACGCAGAGGAGGGTACTGGGGAGTGGAAGCTAGTGTCAGAGGTAAAACACTGTATAGTGGGGACCCAGGCAGGGCCTTGGGCTGATCAATGTGCAGCGAGGACCCAGGCAGGGCCTCAAAGGAGCAGCGTCTCTGAGAAGGGCACAACTATGGAGGCTGCAGTTATGGCAGTACTGTGTAGGGCTATCATGGGAATCAGGGCTGTCAATTAATCGCAGTTAACTCAAGCAATTAACTCAAAACAAATTAACTCACTTTAAAAAATTAATCACGATTAATCGCAGTTTTAATCATGCTGCTAAACAATAATAGAATACCAATTGATATTTATTATAAATATTGTTGGGTGTTTTTCTACATTTTCAAAAATATTGATTTCAATTATAACTCAGAATACGAAGTGTACAATGCTCACCTAATATTATTTTTGATTACGAACATTTGCACTGTAAAAAAAGATAAGCAAAAGAAATAGTATTTTTCAATTCACATCAGACAAGTACTGTAGTGCAATTTCTTAATTGTGAAAGTGCAACTTACAAATGTAACGCTCATTACAAAAATAATGTGTTAATTAAATTTGTGACTGAACTCCTTGGGGGAGAATTGTATGTCTCCTGCTCTGTGGTTATACTTGCATTCTGCCATATATTTCGTGTTATGGCAGTCTCGTATGCTGACCCAGTACATGTTCGATTTAAGAACACTTTCACTGCAGATTTGACAAAATGCAAAGAAGGTACCAATGTGAGATTTCTAAAGATAGCTACAGCACTCGACCCAAGATTTAAGAATCTGAAGTGCCGTTCAAAATCTGAGAGGGACGAGGTGTGGAGCATGCTTTCAGACGCCTTAGAAGAGCAACACTCCGAAGAGCAGAAACTACAGAACCTGAACCACCAAAAAAGAAAATCAGCATTCTGCTGGTGGCATCTGACTCAGATGATGAAAATGAACATGTATCGGTCCTCACTGCTTTGGATCGTTATCGAGCAGAACCTGTCATAAGCATGAAAGTATGTCCTCTGGAATGATGGCCGAGGCATGAAGGGGCATGCAAATGTTTAGCATATCTGGCACATAAATACCTTGCAATGCCGGCTACAACAGTGGCATGTGAATGCCTGTTCTCACTTTCAGTTGACATTGTAAATAAAAAGCAGGCAGCATTATCTCCCGTAAATCAGAAGAGCTCGTGAAGAGCTTGCCCGCACAGCTGATCATGGAGACTCAAGGCCGCAAACGCACTCCAGCCTGGAGTACACAGGAGGCGCTGGATATTATTGCTGTGTGGGGAGAAGAGTCTGTGCAGGCAGATCTCCGATCCAGCAGAAGAAACGCTGACATCTATGCCAAGATCGTGCAGGGCATGGGGGAGAAGGGCTACACCAGGGACATGCAGCAGTGCTGCATGAAAATAAAGGAGCTTTGGCAAGCGTACCAGAAGACAAGGGAGGTGAACAGTCATTCTGGTTCTGCCCCACAGACATGCCGCTTTTATGAGGAGCTGCATGTGATTTTCAGCAGAGACCCCATCACTACCCCAAAACACTCCATGGATACCTCCCAGGAGCCCTAAGAGAACTTGAGCAACAACGAGGAGGAGGAAGAGGAGAATGTGAGGCAGGCAAGTGGAGGATCTATTCTTCCCGACAGCCAAGAACTGTTTTTAACCCTGGAGCCTATCCCTTCACAGGACCAGTTGGCAGAGGAGCATGATGCCAGGGAAGGCACCACTGTGGGATAGCTACCCACAGTGCAGTGTTCCATGCGTCGATGCAAGCCCTGCTAGTGAGGATGCACTCCACAGACACAATGAGCATAATGTGGACACGCAAGATCGACTTGCTTAAATCAAAGGCTCAATGTCGACTTACATAAAGTCGACTTACCTTTGTAGTATAGATATGGCCTATGAGATGAGCCAGCTGAAAGGCGAGCTGGAGCAGCTACAGGAAAAACACAATAATAAGGGTCAGAGAAGAAGATGCCCTTTATATTGACTGTGCCTGGTGAGACTGAGTATGTGTCCCTGGCCCCACTGCACAGGACTGAGAAGGACTGGGATTAAGGGTTTGTTCTTGTGGGACTTGGGAGCCCGGATGCCAGGCACTGAGAGCCATCAGCCATGGGCTCCAGCTGGGAGATCTATACTGAGCTGAGAATCCGGCCTCTCAGTGCCAGGCAGGATGCGGAGCTGACAGGCAATGTAAGTAATGCAGTACACAGACACTGCCTTGGTCTAACTACATCGACCTAAACACTGCACCTCTTGTGGAAGTGAAGTTATGTCAGTGTAGTGGGGGACTTAAATCAGGGGAGCAATGCTGTAGCATAGACACTTACAGAGTTAGGTCGATGTAAGCTGTCTTATGTCTACCCAACTCTGTAGTGTAGACCTGGCCTAAGGAACATTAGCTTTAAGTACTTCCAACAGAAGACTGGATTAAAAAGCTATTTTCTTTAATAAACTGTAAAGCTCTTAAAAACTGACCTTCTCTGAGATTTACTATAGAAGCAGAGGGCAGTCACGATTAAAACATACATACGCACATTCCCCTGCAGATTGTTTATTAATATCCTCTACTGACAAAACTGAATTCTCACTTCAGTGTGTCCTAAGCATTACAAACTACCAGTAAAATATTCATTAATGTAAACTGCATTAGTTAGACAATATAATACACTTTCAGTGAGGTTCAGCATGCTGAATAACATTAAGTATTAGCAAAGCAGCATTCAAAGAGAAAATGTGTATACAGTAAACAAACTAAAAAATAAACATTCAACTTACTTGAAAATGTTTCTAGTTTCTTTCCTCATAGGAATTTATAATACACAGAAGCCTTTGGCTTATACAAAGTATATTTACATTCTTGTAAATCAATTCTGATATTATAATGCAAAAGGAATATCAGAAAGATACACTAGAAAAGGGGATGATAAAAATACTTATTTAGGGATGGATAAACAAGTTCAGAGAAAAAAAGAACTAGACTAAACCCAAGCCCGTATTTGGTAGAGAACTTAAATACTTAGTTTTGAAAATTCAGCTCCCTCTTCCCAAATCCAAATTACCTCCTGCTTTTCCTGGAACACATTCTGAAGTCTTAGTAGTGCTAACAATCTCTGCTGGGCTAGCTGCTGTTTTCAACACATGAGTTCAGAGTCTCCTTGGGCTTTGAAGGTAAGCAATGCAAAATACCTCTGGAGTACACCTGACCAGGGAGTTCACAGAATGTGCAAGATTTTAATAGCACAGCTCTCTAGAACTCTGTTAAGCCGGACGTGAGACCTTGCTTCAATACAACATCACAGTATTTATGGGGTCAGAAGGCCTGTAGTGGGCCAGGATGACAGAAAGAAGGATATGAAAAAGGAAATCTCAGATTGTTTGAATAAATAGGAGCGAGACGTGAAAGCTTCAGGTAAGGTGCTTTAGTTTCCACTCCACTCCCAATACCCTGAAGCATGTAGTCAGAGTTATTTTTAATCTTGATTCCTTATAGATAACAGTTGACTCTCAGTGTCTCAGTATTATTGGCCAACTTTTTTGCCACATGTCTAACTTTTGTACTTTGCATGTTCTTGTAGCCATGTTGCTTCCAGGTTATGAGAGAGACAAGGTAGGTGAAGTAATATATTTTATTGGACCAACTTTCTGCTGATGGAAGGTACAAGCTTTCAGGATACACAGAGCTCTTCCTCAGTTCTGGGAAAGGAAGCAGAGTGTTTGAGCTAAATACAATATGGGACAGATTGTCCAGCAGAAGAGGTAATGCATGTTGGAGGTAGTCACTTGAAATGAAATGGGCAACTGGGAGTTAGATTGTTATGTACAAAGTGTTTTGAAGTGGGCAATTAGGAGTAGCAGGCAGTGTGGTGTGTTACAAATTGTGTAATGAGACATAAAACCAGTGTCCCTTTTCAGTCCATGATTTCTGGTGTCTAGCAGAGTTATGAATTTAAGCTCTCAGGCTCACTTTTAGAAGATGTCAAGCAGATTTCCTTTGAGGACAAGTATTGAAAGATCAGTTATGCAGTGTCTGCCCACAAGTAATGTGGTGTTTTTCTCTTTTATCATTTTTTCTGTGTGAATTCATTCAAGAGCACAGTAATTGTCTGGTTTCACCCACACAGATGCTGTTGGAGTATTTAGTGCACTGGATGAGGTATACCACACGTTGTGAAAAGCATCTGTAGGACCCGTGAATCTTGAAAGATGTGTTGGGGGGGTATTGATCGTCATAGCAGTGAGTACTGGCAGGGTCTGGTGCTGCTTTGAGTTCATAGGTCCTACTCTGTGTAGAGCTTGCTTCTGATGATGAGCTGGGAAAGACTGGGGGGTTGTCTGATGGCCAGAAGAGGGAGTTCAGCAATGATTTCTTTCAGGATGTGGTCCCCATTAAATATGGATTGTAATTGTTTGAGGATCCCCACATGACTTACAAGGAGAGGCTGAGGGAACTGAGGTTATTTAGTCTGCAGAAGAGAAGAGTGAGGAGGGATTTGATGGCATCCTTCAACTACCTGAAGGAGGGTTCCAAAGGGGATGGAGCTAGGTTGTTCTCAGTGGTGGCAGATGACAGAACAAGGAGCAATGGTCTCAAGTTGCAGTGGGGGAGGTCTAGGTTGGATATTTGGAAACACTGTTTCACTAGGAGGGTGGTGAAGCACTGGAATGGGTTACCTAGGGAGGTGGTGGAATCTCCATCCTTAGAGGTTTTTAAGGTCTGGCTTGACAAAGCCTTGGCTGGGATGATTTAGTTGGTATTGGTCCTGCTTTAAGCAGGGACTAGATGACCTCCTGAGGTCTCTTCCAACCCTAATATTCTATGATTCTATATGGGTTCCAGTCTGGGGTGGGAGGTGGCAACTAGGGGTCTGAAGTCTGTGAGGTTTTTCTTCTCTATTGAAGCAGGTTCTCCTGGGGTATTTGGGTGGCCTTTTCCATGATGTGATTTACTTCTCTGGTGGAGTTGCCTTCTTTAGAGAAGGCAGTTTTTAAGTGTGTTTAGATGTGTGTTCTGATTCTGAAGTTTCTCTTTGGAGCAAATGTGGTGGTATCGGAGTGCCTGGCCCCTTTTATTAATATTTATACCTATACAAAATGAGTGCAAAATGACTGTAAAATGTTACCAAATCAAAATGACAGTCTCTGACACCCACTCTGCATAGGTGTAAATGATGACACAGCATTCAAGACACAGGATTTAAACCTTCCTATTAACCCTTCCTCCTCTTTGAGAGCCAGGGGGAAAATGTAAGTCTTGCTGCATACCCTGAAGATCAGAGTGCTGTGCTAATGTACCAAGAGGGAAAATCTGTTCCAAAGTCAAACAAGTTACATTTTTATAAATCAAAACTAACATCTTGTGTAACATCCAGAAATGAATTCAAAGTTGGAGAGGATCACAAACACAGCATTGTCCCCTGTGAGATACACAGCTAAGTAGGCACTCCTACACATTTGACACTACGTGAGGTTTCCAAGTGGTCTTAAGAATTAGCCCCATTAATTTTCCATTGTAATAATCCAGTCTGGAGGTGACAAGGGGCATTTATCTATAGCAGGTGCTTATATGGCCCCATTACTGTGGTATCCAAGACTTTAATACAGTCTAGGGAAGTACTATTATCCCCATGTTACAGATGGAGAACTGAGACAGAGAGAGATTAAGTGACCTGCCTGTACTTATACAGGATGTCTGTCGCAGGGTAGGAAATTTATCTTCTGAATCCCAGGCCACACCCTAGCCACATCCTTCCCTTCTACAAAATTAATAACCATAGGCAGGTCCACATCCAAAAGGAAAAGTCAAAATCTCCTTGCCAAAATGAGATTAAAAAGTATCTTGTCACTGTGAACATAAGTAACAAGGTGGACAAACAACTTTGAATGAAATTGACTAGAAAACATCCCCCCAACTCATTTTATCAGCAAGGAAAGAAGTGAGTCCAAAGTGTAGGTCACAACTCTAAGCTTCTGAAGCACTTCCAAGAGCCTAAGCGAGCAAAACTGAAGCAGAAAAGACTCTTTGTTTGCCACCACCCAACACTTTTCTGCTACCAAGAGGGACAAACAATCTGTCTCCAATCTACATATAACCTGAAAACGCCACACAGAGCTAACAGTGAGATACGACAGTTATTTATTTATATACAGGAAAATATTGCAGTGTCTCAGATGCCAAGGTATGGTAGCTATTGGTAAATGGTCACTTGTTAATGGCAACTACTATGTATACAATATTTACAAAAGGGCCAAATCTAGCTAAACTAATCCATCAAATTAGATTCCACTTCCCAACCCCCGCTAGGACTTTACTAAACAATCAGCACTGAAAACATCCAGAAAAGTATCACCTTACAGTCAAATGAAATTCACCAACTGTGATATTCAAGCCACGGTTTTCAAGGTAATCATATGACCTTCAGGTTTACAAAGGAATTCAAGTTTCAGCAGAACAGGGATCTTATGTGTAGCAAAATATAAAAGTGATTTTGACACATTTGAACTTTCAAGTAACCAAACTAAACATTATACAGAGTAAGTCCTGACAGACAGAAATTGTGGGATTGTAAAGTGATATAATGATTCAAATGATAGTTTTCAGACGCAACTTACTTCTTTATATCCAAAAATGATACGCCCATCATTGAGAAGGGTAGCCTGAAAAGTGAAACTGCCTAGGTTGTAATTATCCTGCAGATGTACATGATCCCATTGGACAACAAGCGCTGTGCCTGTGAGCCCCAGAGAGGGGAAGAAAAACACAAGAAAAATATTCATTAACATTAGTGTAAGCATTTACTGAAGTTAAATAAAAACAATACTTTGTCCCTATATATCATATTTCAGTCAAAAACCTCAAAGCACCACAAATCTTATAAACATTACTTGAGCACCAAACCCTCTTGTAACATGTGATATTACAGTGTTATAATTAATTATATCAATTATATAGATAAATTTGAGTCAAGACAGATTAAGTGACTTGCCTAAAGTCATAGAGTGAGTCAGTGTCAATTATCAAGAACCGAACCCAGTATTCCTACTCCAAGTTTGCTGCTTTAATCACAACACCACAATGTCCTTCATTTATCCTATAAACCAATGACTATCAAGGTTGAAAAGTTAATGGAATTGCTGGTATTGAAAAAGTGATTATTTAAGGTATTCAGTTTCCTCCATTAACAATGCAGCAATATAAACAACATTAATTTTTCTGTACACTGTAAGGTTTCACTGTGTTTCTGAATGCTGAAGAATACTAGGGGTTGCCAATAAATATTAACTATACAGTTTAAATTAAAGCCACTAAAAAGCCATAGATGGGGCTAAATGCGGACTTAGGTGTGCAGAGATTTAGTTGCAAAAGGCCTATTAATATTCATGGGAACTGTCTGGCTGGATCCCCATGAACCACACTAAAAATGTACCCTCAAGTGACTCACATGCCCTGCAAACATGTTTTACAGATGATGAGAGGTTACAAAACACATTGAGGCAGCTAGGCTGAAAGGAATTTATCACCACAACAGTGTTTACTGAAAATGTCTTTTTCATATTTAGGACTATATCCTTCCCCCAGTGCACATCTCCCTTTAACACTAATGGGAGTTATGTGCTTTGATTCACAAAACCTCTATTTCATTTCTTGTGTAGTGTCACGAAGATGCTTCAAGGTGGGTCAATATGCCTGTAGCTCAACACGTTGGATGCATCCTGCAAACTCCTCAGCCATAGATCTTTAGCACAATAGCTTATATGCCTGTTTTTTGCCAATATGTTTTAGGAAACTATGAACATGCAAGTCTATCACATCATTTGCAAGTGTATATTTCATGGTCTTAGCGCATAAATCAATACTGTACGCAATGTATTCTTCATAGACAGCAATAAGCATGAAAGCTCATTTTTGAATGCTAAGTAGATTATTTTAAATTTTAATTTTAAAAGGACCTTTCCCATTTCAGGATTCATTTTCACCTGCATAATGTTACAAACGAAAATTCATCAATGGGCCAGACTCTGCTCCCCCTATGGATCTCAGCCCTCCTGTGCATAAGTGGGAGTTAGCAGCTTCAGTGGCACTGGCTCTTTTTCCCCAGGGGAGCTGTCTGCTGGGCTGGGTTCCATGAGAGGTGACAACACGGGTAGGTCACTAAGCTCTACCCATATTGATACAGAATTATTTCCAAAGTAACTAATGCACTTCCAGGAGAAACAGCAGAGGGAGAATGACAAAGGCAAAAACAGAACTATGTAGCTGAGGATGTGACTTATTCTCTTTCTTTTCATTTACAGTAACCAGCCAAATCCTTGGTCCTAAAGCGCATGCAGCAGAGCAGAACTTCATGATTATGGAAATGTTAGCTACTTCCAAGGGTGGACACATACTCTGAGGCCTAGCCCCATCACTTTAAGGGCAATGTAATGGAGTCTGCCCCTCCCAGGGATCAAGGAATTATGTTAGGGAGGTATGGAGCCTAAGCAGTTCCTCCTCAAGGACATTCAGATCCCTTTCAGTTAGCCAGGTTCCCTCAGTGGTTATGGCACACCTGTAGCTCCATTATATCTGCAGGGATTTGCATTTGTCATTCATGTATATGACATATAATATAAATACACACATACACCTCTACCCCGACATAACGCAACCCAATATAACACGAATTCGGATATAACATGGTAAAGCAGTACTCCGGGGGGGAGGGGAGGGCTGCGCACTCCGGCGGATCAAAGCAAGTTCAATATAATGCGGTTTCACCTATAACGCGGTAAGATTTTTTTGGCTCCCGAGGACAGTGTTATATCGAGGTAGAGGTGTATATAGATACACAGACGTAGTGCTACATCAACAATACAGGTTCAACAATAGCACCTAATTGGTTGTATAGCTGGATTAACAATTAATGACAATGGAAATTCTCCATATAGCCTTTATCTTTCTCAGCAAACATAACTTTAAGAAGAAATAAAATAGCTGACCAAACACACTGCTATGTTAGGACCACAGCTGGCAGAACAATTCATGTCAAAAAATGTATTGGATGAATGTCACCACTTTTTTCTTTGTAAATCGTCTGCAAAGGAAGCACGGTTTTCTCAAATGTATTTATTTGAATAGTTTTGTCAGATAAACTCTGCAAAAAAATTACTGGACTGTGATTGACATATAGGCACTGCTGATTTCTGTTTGGATGAGCATAACTTTCTGGCATGAATACTCATGATTACAAACATGAAATATAGTCACAACGATTGCATAAAATGTGCTTACAATTCACTCTCCTCCCCATAAATTCATTTGTTAGAATATTCATAGAAAGCAAATACAAAAAGAATGTTTTGTAGAGTGGGCACTTCCAGGCCCAGCCACTCTCCCTTCTCAGGAATAGGCACAGTCCCTATTAATATAAACATAAATATAAAGCAGTCCTTCTAATTTTAGGCTCCTGCTGTTGAAAATATTGGCCTTAGATGCCTAATTTTAAGCATACATGTTTTAAAATTGTACCCTAAAGTTTTAAATATGAAATATAGAATCAGTATCTTGTGTGGCATCACTAGATTTGCCACTAGAGATCAGAGCTGAGTTAAGGCATTAGATGTCATTTCATCGCAGAGGATCAAGCTTTCAAAATGCTGATTTTTAACAGACTACATGACTACAATCCTCATATTTAATGCTTTAGAAATGTATCCCAAGGAGTAGCCGTAAGTATAACATTTCACTTTGCTTTTTAGCTTTTCAGATTTTCCTATGAAGGACTGCTAGTATAGAGAAGTTTATTGAATTCCTATACTGGGGCACACTGCCCATTTAATCAGTGACAGGTTTATTAACCTCAGACATGCCCTGCCTCTGTGTATGCTTAATATTACATCTCACAAGGCTATTTTCTTTATAGCTACTGGATGGACAGGACTTACTACACAAATGAATCAAGAGGGCTATGCACCTTGGTAGGAGATAGATTTTCCTCTTTAAAATGATAAAGTATATTTCAAGTCTAGAAGTGGTATTACATGTTCTACCATCTGTGGGGTTTTTTTAAACTGTTTAATACAATCCATTCATAAATGTCTAACCATGTTTTAGAATCCATTTTACGAATATTTATCCACATTCTTTAGATGGCCTATTAGCCACATACAATATTTTAAGTAGCCTTCATCTTTTCTTTTAAAAGCTATTTAGGAAAATATAAATAGCCAAGGGATAGATAAATTCATTTATGTAAGACTATCACATACCATTATCAAAGTATCTCACTGTTGAATTTCTTGACACACTGGGGTCAAAATTTGCCATCAAGGGTGCAATGTATTGCGTAGCTGTTAGCATTCGATGCACAACTTCTCCAGTATATATGAAACCTACAATAAAGAAGAAGAAAAAAAATAAGTCATTTCTAAAAAGATTTAACAAATGTCTGATTTAACTAGATATTGCCAGAGTTTTAAAGATAAATTAATCCTATTGCCAACTTCTAACAGTAAATTAAACAACAGAATAAATGGCACAAAAAGATTCACGAGGGCAATCAGAATGAGCTCTGAACAAAGGAGGAATCATTTCAAGGAACAGATTTTCATAGAGCCAAAAAAAATAGATTGAAACATTGTACAGTGAAGGCTATTTTCAGTTTTGGGGTGAAACTCAGAAGGGCTGAGAAAGCAGGCATTATCAAAATGCAGCCAATCACCATCTTTGCTACTTTCCTCATGTGTTGTATCCCCCCTCTTCATTAGTCGGCCTGTTTTGTCTTTTCAGCTGTCAGCTCTTCGGGGATGAGACCACACCTTCTTTTTGTAAAACACACAGTAAGGCTTTGTCTACACTGCACTTTCGTTGTTAAAACTTGTTGCTCAGGGGTGATGAAAATCACCAGTGTGGACAGTGCTTCATCATTGGGAGACTCTCCCGTCAACAAAGCTACCGCCCCTCGTTGGGGGTGGTTTTATTTTGTCACCGGGGGAGCTCTCTCCTGGTGATAAAAGAGCGGCTACAATGCGCATCTTACAACAGTGCGGCTGCAGTGGCACAGCCATGCCATTGTAAGGTGAGCAGTGTAGACATAGCCTAAGAGACAATTTTTGCCCTGAAGGACTTGCAATCTTAATGAACAAGGCGGCTGAATTGTGAGAGAGACAAGTATTTGTCATGGCTTCAAGGCTAGCTACATCTCTGTCACCTTTCTAGTCTCTCTGAGTGCCGCGCCCCTCCTGAGTCAGGTCCAAGCCTGGTGCCTTTACCTATACTGAGGTGGAATTCTGCAGTTCTCCCCTCTGAGGGTATGTCTACATGGGGGCACTCAAGAGAGTTAAGACAAATTAACTGAAGCTGTGAAAATACAGTAGAACCTCAGAGTTATGAACACCAGCATTACGAACTGACCAGTTAACCACACGCCTCATTTGGAACTAGAAGTACATAATCAGGCAGCAGCAGAGAAAGAGAGACACACACACACACACACACACACACACACACAAAGCAAATACAGTATAGTACTGTCTTAAATGTAAACTACTAAAAAAATAAAGGGAAAGCAGCATTTTTTCTTCTGCACAGTAAAGTTTCAAAGTTATATTAAATCAATGTTCAGTTGTAATCTTTTGAAAGAACAACCATAACATTTTGTTCAGAGTTACAAACATTTCAGAGTTACGAACATCCTCCATTCCTGAGGTGTTCGTAACTCTGAAGTTCTACTGTACTCTGCAGTTAAAATGCATCAAATGCATCAAACCCCGAGTGGATACTCTCCTAGGATTAAGCTACAACAAACTCAGGCCACTTTACTCCTGAATAGGAGTGTTAACACAGGGATTTAACACACATTCACTTCAGAGCTTTAGTTGATGCATCTTAACTTTCCTGAGTGTCTCTGTGCAGACAAGCCTTATTAGACCGGGCCCTGGACTACAGCACTCTGTGTATTAACCATGCTTACTCAATGGATCTGACTGAATTTGGCACTTATGGTTCTTTCCTTCAGGAGTCTGTGACCAGTGGCGTATATCATGATCAGATGGCCTTCTCAAAACCAAAATAGTTAAAGAAGAGGGATTGTAAAACCTGCATGCATATCTATCTTACCTCCAGGCTTACTCTCCGCTGATGGTAGCCTAAGCATCTTCAGACACCCAGCAGGTGCCCATCTCAGTCTGCCTTCCCCAAACAACTCTCTAAACAGCTACCCCCTCTTGAAAGGGAGTCTCTTTCTAAACTGTTATCTTTTTGCTTGTCAATTTCCAGGCTTTGGCCCTGCTTGTCAAAATTGGTCCTGTAAGCTGGCTGGAGTCAGGAGGTAGATACTTCACAGTTAATAGTTTGGACATTGTCTCTTAAGAACCCTTAGTGTTCACTGAGGGGTGGTTTATCTTAAGCCATTGTTTCCTTCCAGCTTGCTTGTCCTTTCTGTCTCCTATGAAGCTAAACCAATATATCCAAACAGTAAACATCCCAACAACCAGGTCAACATTAGAGCTGGTTGAAAAAATTTCCAACAAGATCGTTTTCCATCGGAAAATGCTGTTTTGCAGGAACATGTCAACTTTGATGAAAGTTTTGATGGGAAGAGTGGTGGTAGCAGCAATGGTGATAGTGAATGTGTTCCTTCGTGTCTCAGGCACATGGATTTCCCGTCCCCCTCCTCACCCTTCCATCTCCTGTCTGGGGGGGAGGGGTGTCTCTCTTCCCCCTCTATCTAATCTGGACACAAAACAGGAAGAAGGAATTGCATAGAGGGACAGTGATATCTGAGATTGGTGGCACCCAAATCAGGATATTTCCCTTCACAGGAAATCCAAGGTTTGACACTTCAGAACAACAACAACAACAAAAAATCTGGAACTCTCATTTTCCTACGGGACAGAAAACCAGTTTTCCAGTCAACTCTAGTCAACATGAAGTATTATAGCACAACTCCACTTTTGTCACAGGGAAGTGAGGCACAAAGAGATTAGATGAGTTATCCAAGGCCACACAGGAAATCTGTGGCAGAGCAAGGAATTTAACCCAGATCTCCTGAGTGCCAGCCCATATCATAACCACCTCTCCCCGCTCATGTATCTTCACTAACAATCTTTCATTGACCCCTTTTAACTAAATGCTTGCACAGTATAACTGAGTTTGTCAGATATACAGTTTTACATGTTGCACTGTGCAGTGACTAGAGAGGCTATTTAAAAAAAAAAAAAACCTGCCTGGATAGTAGCAGTTATCACTATATATAATGAGGTAATCTCTTGCTGAAATGATAGAAAACTTATTAATTCAAAAATTTAAAACTATGCTGGACAAAACACGAGAAAATATACTCTAGGAAACATCCTACATTCCCGTGGGCTGGATTAGAGGATTCCTTTGCCTTTGTTTTCTTTTAAAACACAGCTTGCAGTTTCATAGTTTCAATGCTGGTTATATTCTAAAACCTGGATGTTTACTATTCAGCTCCTAAATCCATATTTAGGTCCCTAACTGCAGGTGACCTGGTTTTCAGAGGTTCACAGAGACAGACAAAACACACCCAAACATCTTTTACAACGTTCACTTTTGTGAACTAGTAGAAAAAAATTAATTCTCTCTGTTTATAAAAAACTGTATTTTTTTCTTTCCTCACCTTTTCTTCATGTGCTTTTTTAGTCACTTAAAATCTAAACTTTTCAGATGTCCTATTGCAAATGGATTTTCAACATGAATTGTATTCTACCATATGTCTCCTTAGGTTAAGCAGAAATCCTACCAGACAATGGTCACTAAAATGCATTTTTATTAGTTCACAGTTATTGCTGTCTGCTTCTTAAATGTAATTCTCTTGAGAAGCATTCTCCCTCTGGCTTATTGAGACATTTTAAATATCTATTGTTTCATTCAGCACTTGAGTGCTGATGGTCCCTGAGGGAACACGTACATGCCTTTTGTCATATTCTTGTCTAAATCTATATACCTACAACCACACCCCTAATATGCTGAAGGTGATATATTCAATCTTGAAAGTCACATTCATGTATCGGGATTACCTTTTAACACCTTGCACCAAATTAATTCCTGGTGTAACTCCAATGTCCTCATACGCTTGCACACCCTCTCTTCCCAGTTCACATTTGTAAACAATACCATCACAACTAATACTCAGGACAGGTACAAAAATACAAGGGAAAAATTTAATTGTTAGAATATTTAAGTAAATAAATAAATCGATCCAGGTAGTTAGTAGCCATAATGCATATTTCTTCTTGTTTGCCAGTGGTACATTTTTCCTTTAGATAACAGTGGAAACAGGGCGGGAAGGGTGATAACAAAACCAGGAAGGTTCTGAACAAAGGTCATTCTAATAAGAACTCCCGTCATGCTTCAGAACAACTTGGAAAGAAACACAAAGTCAGTTCAAAGTGTCCCAGAGATTCAGAGGCTGAACCACTGTTGATATTTTATCATTGCCACTAATACTTCAAGTAAGTAGCACATACAAATTTAACGTATCCCTGAAGGGGCTTCCACAGAAAGTTGGCAAGCAGTGGCTTATACTGTCTGTAAGCCAGTTTTCTGATGGTAGTAATAACCATCTATTCACTTAGTCAAGGAAGAATTTTCCAGACCTACAATTTCCTGAACCACTTAATCCTCAATTTGTGGGAAGAGTTTGGAAGGCTCTTTTGCAAACCTATCCAAAAGGACTAAAGCTAGATACACAAGATACTAGCTGCCTCTAAAATGTTCGGATGAAATTTATCAAACTCTGTTGTTCAGGATTTTATAAGTTATAACAAACAGCTCTATGTAAAACAAGAACAAGTATAAACAAAACCTAAAGTAAGTACAGGTGAATAGTATAGAAATAAAAAGGCTAAATCTTATGTGGTGTGTGGGTGCACATGTACATACAAACATACGTGTACAAACTGATGGAGAAGTGCACATTGTGGGCCAGCTTTTTAGTTGATCTAGGCCAATTTCCAAAATTTCAATTCCATTTACAGAAGACAAAACCAAATGGTGTTCTCTGTTCCACTGGTTGCTTTAGATTCACACTTGACCAGTTTCAGTGGAGTTACCTGGGATTTTCATCAGTTGATCCAAGGACAGAATTAGGCCCAGTATTGGTTCTCAAACATCAGTGGCAGTTTGCCTTCGTAAGGATTGCAGAATTTGGCTTCTTCCTCTTTTATTCACTTTCAATAGACATGTATAGACACCAGTCACCCAACATAAACTTCCTGCATTATTCACCAAATTCAAGGAAATTGTAGGATATTGGCTTCAGGTAGTGTGAATAACTAAGCCATTTAATAAATAATTAAATATCAATACCTAGCTTTTATATAGCACTTTTCATCAGTAGATTCCAAAAGAGGTAAGGATCACTGTC